CTCGAAGGGTTGTTAAATTAATGGCTGTGAGCTCGAAGGGTTGTTAAATTAATGGTTGTGAGCTCGAAAGATTGTTAAATTAATGGTTGTGAGCTCGAAGGGTTGTTAAATGTATGGTTTTGAGGACTGTGAGGTTTTAAGTGGGTTTTCGTTTCAAGTGTGAGTGCTTGTGAGGTTGTGAGGTTTAAGAGGCGGAGGAAGAGGGAGAGAGAAGAAGAGAGAGAGAGGGAGAGGGAGAGGGAGAGGGAGAGGGAGAGAGAGAGAGAGGGGGAGAAGGAGAGAGAGAGAGAGAGAGAGAGGGAGAAGGAGAGGGAGGAAGAGAAAGAGAAAGAGAAAGAGAGAGAGAGATAAACGGAAACAGAAACAGAAACAGGGCGAAAGAGAAAAGAGACAGTGAAAAGAAAAAAAGGAAAATAGAAACAAGAAGAAGGAAGAGAGGCAACGCCCAAGCCCCACATGGCACGGCGCGGCACAGGTGACTGACGAGAACAGGGTGCAGGTGAGAACAGGTGATAAATGAGGACAAAGCACAGGTGAAGAGAGAGAGAGAGAGAGAGAGAACGTGGGTCATTTGTCGCGATGATGGATGGCAGCGTCTAAGGGGGGGGGGGGGTAGAGTGGTAGGTGTTGAAGGAATAGGGAGGGGGGGAGGTAGGGAGGGAAAGGAAGGGGGGAAGGTAGTGGGAGCTGTGAAAGGGAGAGGGAGGGGAGGTAGGGAGAGGGGGGAGACAGGGAGGGAGAGGGAGGGGGAAGAGATGGGGAGCTGTAAGGAGAGGGAGGGGGAAGGGAGGGGGAGGGAGGGGGGGAAGGGAGGGGATGAGACTTGAGTGAGACCGATTACGAGAAGTGGGAGTAAGGTGGGGGGGGGGGGGAGGTGTTTCGCGGTCTAATTTCTTTTTCTTTTTTTTTTCTTCAATTTTCTGTACGTGTTTGTTTCTGTTGGTCTGTGTTTTTGTTTCGTTCATTTTATTATTTTTTGCTCGTTTTCTCTCTCTTTCCCACCTTTACTTCCATTTATTTTAATCTTATAATCATCCTTCCACTTGTTCTCCCCTTATTTAATTCCCTTTCCTCTTCCTCCTCTCTTCTTTGTTTCCCATCTTCCCCTCTCCCTTTCTTTATTTTTTCCCTTCCTCCCTCTCTTTCTTTTCCCTCTCTCCCTTCCTTCCCTTCCCTCCACTTTATCCCTCCCTCTCCCCTGCTCCCCATCCCTTCCTTTCCCCTCCTTCTCCTCCTTCCTTTTCATTCCTTTTTCCTCCTTTTCCGTCCTTTTCCTTCGAACCCCGTTTTCCTTTCTCCCCTCCCCCCCCCCTTTGTTTTCCCTCCCTTCCCTCTCCTTCCTATCGCATTCTTCTTCCTTCCTCCTCCTATTTGACATTTCGCCCTTCCTCACCATTATCATCTGTTTCTATTTTCCCCGGGGGGGTAGGGAGGGAGGGAAAGTATGGGGAAGGAGAGGGAGAGAGAGAGAGGGAGAGAGAGAGAGAGAGAGAGAGAGAGAGAGAGAGAGAGAGAGAGAGAGAGAGAGAGAGAGAGAGAGAGAGAAAGAGAGAGAGAGAGAGAGAGAGTGGGAGGGAGAGAGAGAGAGAGAGAGAGAGAGAGAGAGAGAGAGAGAGAGAGAGAGAGAGAGAGAGAGAGAGAGAGAGAGAGGGGGGGGGGGGGGGGGGAGGGAGAAAGTGGACGATAATGATAACGAAGCCTGCCCGCTGGGAAATGAGCTTGTGATGAAAACAGAGAGAGAAAAAAAATCGAAGAGGGAGTTTGTTTTTTATTTATTTATTTAGTTATTTATTTTATTTATTTATTTATTTATTTATTTATTATTATTATTATTATTTTTTTTTTTTTGGGGGGGGAGCACATTTCCCCATATATTTTGCTTACATAACTTTGCCTCCTTCGCGACGTAGGTTAAAAATCGATGAAATGTTACGGATTTGAAATGCTTACAAAAAAATAAAAAAATAAAAAAAATAAATAAATAAATAAAAAAAATCAATATTCTAACCCATTGTTAAAATTTAAATATATGTATCCTCCACCGTTTTTTTGTTTTTTTTTTTCTGTGCAATTGATCATCTTGCAGACTCTCCAGACTGCAGTTGACTCAGATGTTGCAGGAGAGTAAGAAAGGTCATTTCTGAGGGAAAGGGGGCCGTGAGGTCATAAAAATGCGATAAAGCAATAAATATGAATAATGTAAATCATTATCTTTATCTCTTTCGTTGTTTTCTTTCTTTGCTTAAGTTTTTTTTTTTTTTTTTTTTTTTTTTTTTTTTTTTTTAGGAAATTATTAGATGACAATTTTGAGATTTGAATGTATTCCGCTGATTTTATTTTAAGAAATGAGAAGAGAGAAACACAATAACGGGGAAGAGAGAAACTGACAATAACAGGGAAGAGAGAAACGGACAATAACAGGGAAGAGAGAAACGGACAATAACGGGGAAGAGAGAAACAGATAATAAAGGTGAAGAGAGAAACGGACAATAACAGGAAAGAGAGAAACAAACAATAACGGGGAAGAGAGAAACAGACAATAACATGAAAGAGAGAAACGGACAATAACGGGGAAGAGAGAAGCAGACAATAAACAAGGAAGAGAGAAACAGAGGATAATGGTGACTGAGATAAAATTGTGAAGAGGGAAGAATAGAGAAAATAACAAAAAAGGAGAAAGGCGAAGGAGGGACGCGACCACGAGTGACAAAGGAAAGGGGAAGATAATAAGGCAAATAACATAAGATTGAAGGAAGAGGAGAGACAGAGGAAATAAAAGAGGAAGGGGGAAGTTTGAAAGAAAGAAAGAGAGAGAGAGAGAGAGAGAGCGAGAGAGAGAGAGAGAGAGAGAGAGAGAGAGAAAAGGATGATAGAATAAAATTGGTATCGAAAGGCGTCGATAAAAAAATGAATATATGATAAATAGAGAAAGAGAAGATTAAAAGAAAGTG